TTCAGAAATACGGACACAAAAGGTAAATAAACAAGAAAAGAGGAAAAAGAAGAGAAAAGATAAAGAAAAAAATGAAAAAAAGAAAAGAAAATAAAAAAGGAGAGAAAGGAAAAGAAAAAGAGAAAAGTAACAACGACAAAGCAATTCCTATAACATGAACTACGTTCGACCTGATTCCTTTTAAGGATACGTAGGCAGCTTCACGGTTCGATCCAATCAAAATAAAAATTCAAAAGCCCCAGGCAAAGAAACTTGGCATAAGTTGTGGTTATGTAGGAGATCTGATTCCAAAAGTTGTAATCTTGAATCCATTTCAGTTGTTTTTGAGCCTTTACAATATCATTTCCCTCCCTATCCAAAATCCCATATTACGGTCCAAAGAAAGATCTTCCGATCAAATCTTTGAGGAATGCCAAGTTAGGCGAGATAGAGGTTTGAGTCATCAGGGGAAACTATATATTTTACACAAGGAAAATGAATAAATGAGAGAGTCCTATTGGAGAAAACCCTCACGGGCACCGTAGGTCGATGGAAAGATGAGAGAGTCTTGTTGGTGAAAACCCTCACGGGCACCGTAAGGTGATAGTGAGTTGAGAGATGAACAAATGAGAGAGGTTTGTTAGTGAAAACTCTTTAGGTCGTTGCAAGCCGAACAAGGTCAGTGACTTTGCAAAGAGATTGGATTGTAGAGATCCCGGGGCATAAAGTATGACAACTGAAAGGTGATTGGCTGAACGGGCTAGGCTGATTAATCCGAAATGTATGTCATGATCATTGGTGCCAGCTGCCTCACTCAGATAAGTCTCCTTCCTTTTCTCTCTCAAACAATTATCATGTTTCAAGTCTTTTTCTTTGTTTCTAACTCTCGAAGTCATTGCATTTCATTTCTTTGGGTTTATTTCTCTAAGGCTTTTCCCATGTCAGCCTTGTTTAAGCAAGAAAGAAAGGATTTCAAAGATTATTACCAACTTTCAAATTGCACAAAGCAAAGTAAGGCCAAAGCATACCAGAAATAGCATTATGCAAAGTGAAAAATAAGGTGTTAATGAAAGTTCAAGCGGTCGAGTGGTTTGGGAATTTTGCGGAAGATACAGAGATTTAGGTGGGAAGGATAGAAATGTAAAATAGTGGGTTGAGTGTAGAGCACTCGGGTCATGTGGGTGAGATTTAGTCAGAAAGTCAAAAAATTCTTGGCTAGTTCAAAGCAGCCAGTCAGAACAAAGCACGGCGGTGAAAAGACCTCCTTCAGCAAGAATGCCACAAACTAACTACCACATTTTTAAAATTGATAAAATTTTCTTTGATTAAAACAGGGGCAGGAAATTTCATTTGTTCTGGAGGAACCCTCCGTGAGGAAAGCATGTACCGTACAGGTTCAATCATAAATTTTCAGGACCCTCCTAGATAATGGGCTTTAGTTTAAAATTTTCAGGGCCCTCTTGGATAATGGGATTCAATTTTTAAAGGTTCTCAGGACACTCCTGGATAATGGGACTTAGTTGAATTCCAAGACCTTCATAGATAACAAGATTTTGCATAAGCTCTACCTTTAGGAAATATGAGTTGACTTTAAAGCTTTCATTCTTAAGATGAGATTCAATTTGAAATTTTTAGGACCCTCCTGGATAATGGGATTTAGTTTAAATTCTTAGAGATTTTGGGTAACATGATTCGATTAATATTGATAGATGTGCCCAGATACCAAACTGGGGCAGAAAAGTTTCTTTGTTTGCCTGTTTGTTGTAATCAGGTGCTCACTTGGAGAACAAGGGAATACAGTTCAAGTTTTGGCAATCAGGTGCCCACCTAGAGAATAAGGGAATACAGTTCAAGTTTTCGGAAATCAGGCGCCCACCTGGAGAACAAGGGAATACAAGCCAAGTTTTGGAAATCAGGCGCCCACCTGGAGACAAAGGAATACAGTTCAAGTTTTCGGAAATCAGGCGCTCACCTAGAGAACAAGGGAATATAGTTCAAGTTTTGGCAATTAGGTGCCAACCTGGAGAACAAGGGAATACAGTTCAAGTTTTCATCAATCAGGCGCCCACCTGGAGAACAAGGGAATACATATCAAGTTTTCACAATCAGACACCCACCTTGAAAACAAGGGAATACGGTCCAAGTTTTGGCAATCAGGCGCCCACTTGGAGAACAAGGGAATGCATTTCAAGTTTCGGCAATCAGGCGCCCACTTGGAGAACAAGGGAATACATATCAAGTTTTCACAATCAGACACCCACCTTGAAAACAAGGGAATACGGTCCAAGTTTTGGCAATCAGGCGCCCACTTGGAGAACAAGGGAATACATATCAAGTTTTCACAATCAGACACCCACCTTGAAAACAAGGGAATACGGTCCAAGTTTTGGCAATCAGGCGCCCACCTGGAGAACAAGGTAATACAGTTCAAATTTTGGCAATTAGGCTCCCACCTGGAGAACAAGGGAATACAGTTCAAGTTTTTGGAAAACAGACGCCCACCTAGAGAACAAGGGAAAACAGTCCAAGTTTTGGTAATTAGGCGCCCACCTGGAGAACAAGGGAATACAGTTCAAGTTTTGGAAATCAGGCGCCCACCTGGAGAACAAGG